AAAAATGTGTGAGGTCAGTGCGTGATCACGTGACATTATTATTTGTAAACAAACGGGCTCCCCATGTAACACGTGTCGGAACTATCCATACAAGGTGCAATCAATCTTATATTTCACTATTTGATGATATTTCTGTGTCTGTTTGTAGGTTTTGCAGATCAGATGTCATAGTGTAGTTTCATAGACAAAAAAGTACCATGATTGTTCCTGTTCAGTAGTTGTGAATTTTTTTATAGAATTAGAAGGTAAACTACATTAGTCATTATTTAAATTAAGTCTGAAAAAATGACTCAACTCTCTGTGTAATTTTTCCCCAATTTTTGAAACATGCATAATTTAAAGAGCATTTGCTTCCCTTGAACCCTCTCCCCTGCAAATTGCGGCAATTGATTGGCTTATTAATTTGATCATGAGAAACACAGAATTTGATTGGCTGATCACGATTGTCTTCCCTTGGGAATAGTTCAATATCGGGAACAATCATATTTTTCGTGTAGATTTTCACAAAATCGTGTTTTAGAGATTTTTCACGATCCCGATCGTGCAATCGTGACAAAGGGTCAAAATCGTGTAGTACATGCCTAAATCGTGAAAGTTGGCAGGTATGATTGCCTAAAACTCATAATCATAGTCCGAGATTACTCTGATGTCCAACATCTGTTTTTGCGATTCCGGCATTTTAACTCTTTATTTTCAAATTGAACACGCTCAGCCATTCAGCTTATTTGCATCATAAATGAACGAGGTGTTAGATTATGTTTTCCTATTGAATAAGGGTCATTTTCATAAATCAGCTCTCATAATGCATTGTAAATTACTTTTTCTGTTGGTCATGTCACAATCTTTTAAAGTCAAAGTAAAAATGCCAGTATTGATGTGTCAATGTGAAAACTGTCCAAATATGAGAAAATAGCGGGTGGCAGGTCGATTTAATGAAGAGAAAAATGAACTAATTGAGGCTCGATTTATAAAGATTATGTTTTCCTATTGAATAAGGGTCATTTGCATAAATCAGTTCCCATAATGTTGGTCATGTGACATTCTTATAAAGTGAAAGTTAAAATAAGGGTGGTAATGGGGGTACCTTCATGACGAATAACGGTAAAAAAAATCTTGCCAAATGACGTTAACGGTAATTTTTGGTGCATGACGATAAAATGAAGACTTTCTTCATGACGATAAAAAAATCGAGAGATTTTGACGAATCACGTTAATTTTTTGCCAAAAATAACGGTAACGATAATTATTTGAGACCTCTGACGAATCACGATAAGGATATGTTGACGAATCACGGCAAAATGTTAACATATTTGACGCTAACGGTAGCCGAAAATGACCGTTAGACGCCTGACGGTAAAGGGCATTCATACCCTCTAAAATGTCCGTATTGATGGCAGAGGCATATTTAGGGGGCCCGGGCCCCCACTTTTGTGGGAACAATTTGGTTGATTATATAGGGAATCACTGAAGCATGACTGGAGCGGGCCCCCTCTTATGAAAATTTCTGGATCCGCCACTGGATGGGTCAATGTGAAAACTGTCCAAATATGAGAAGATAACGGGTGGCAGGTTGATCAAACTTACTTAAATGAAGAGAAAAATGAATAAATTGAGGCTTGATTTATATGGATCCAGTCGCCTCCAGAAGCAACGAAGCAGCACATCCACAAAACTCAATTCCAATGACAAATATGCCCTAATCTTAAATTGAAAGCATTGGAAAAGTAAACTGTAAATTATAATTTTGACAATGACCACAATTTGTTTCAGTTCAATGTACATGTAATAATATGCGGGATAATACATGAACTTAATACTGCTTCACGGTTATACAGGTTTGTCAATGTAAATATATAATAATTTGTTTGCTAACTTAGGGAGCTACCATTTGATTTTTAGGGGGGGGGAGGGGGTCTAGGATGAAATTTGAAAAAAAGGCAGGATGACAATTTATGTAAAAACAAGTCGGGATAAGCTAATAGAAAAAAATGCAGGACAAAAAAGAGTGAAAAATAAAAAGGCAGGACAGATTACATCTCGAACTAAAAAAAAAATGCAGGACAAAATTTTTCATCCTAGCCCCCCCCCCCCTTTTTCCCCCCATAAAAATGGAAAGGAAGCTTCCTTATAGTGTTTCCTTCAGAGGGTGTTGGCCTGGAATGGTACCCTGCAGTTTTCATACGCCTGTTCATGAGAAATATTATGGTATGCCTTTGTCCGTCTGTCTGCCCTGATCTGTCTGTTTCTAGCATGTTGTTCACTAGCTCAGTAATATTTTTTACCAATTTGCATGAAACTCTGGTGAATTGATTATATCTACTGACGTGAGCTCCCTTTTAGATTTTTAAGAATTTTATAATATACCGTTTTACATTTTCAAAATGTGAGGTTCTATTCATTAAAAAAAGGGGGATTTTCATGTTAACGCCCATTAACTCTAAAAATGCTTTGTTCACTAACTCTTCAAGGCTTCACCAATTTGCATGAAACTGTTGTGAATTGATTATTTTATAAATTTTAGGTTTCCCATTTCAGAGTTATATGGAATTATATTCTGACATGTATTAATGTGAGCTCCCTTTAGATTGTTTTGGAATTTTACAATTTACATTATCCAGTTACAATGTAAGGGGTTTTATTCATTCAAAAAGGGGGATTTGCATGTTTTCGGACATTAACTCGAAAATGCTTTAAGCAGTTGTCATTTGTCATGAAACTTTGGTTAATTGTTTATATATATCTATTGATGCAAGCTCCCTTTCAATTTAATAAATTGTGGAATTTTATTCATATAAAAGGATGGCTTTCCCAGTTTGCAGATCAAATTCAAAAGTTTGTACTTGCACTTCTCTGGCATGTTTCAGTAAATGTGTAAATTATAACTGACATAACTAACTTTGACAATGACCACATATTTTTAAGTTCAATGTACATGAAATATACAAGGTAATGCATGTAGACTCGATACTGCTGCAAGGTTATACAGGGTTGTATTTTTTCCTTCAGAAAGTTTTGGTGTGGTATGACACCCTGTCATTTTTATACGCCCGTTTACGGGACGTACTATGGTAAACCGTTGTCCATCTGTCTGTCCGTAGTCAACATGTCGGACATTAACTCAAAACCACTTTAAATAATTTACATAAAACTTTGGTGAATTGTTTATATCTATTGACATGAGCTCCCTTTCGTTTTTTATAAATTTTAGATTTTACGTTTCTGACTAAAATTAGGTGGAGGTATGTTCTTATTTCTGACACAGGGGTTCTCAACCTATATCAATTTGTGCATGAAGCGATTGATAGTTGCTAGATACTGAATAATTTTACCACAAATTTGTGAAAGTTTTAACCAGTGTTTATACTTAAAATATGTTAATAAAGTTCATGTCTTTTTCAGGACTTCTGATCCAACCATGTAGTATGGCATGTTTGTGAGATATGGTTTTGACCAGTAGGATGTTCATGAAGGACCTGTAGTACAAAGTATATCACTGGATTGAGCTCATTGTCTAAGTGTATTATTAAAGTGCTTTGCTTTGAGCTCAGTTCATTGTTATGCAATTCATTCTTTGTGAAATAAAGATTTGACAGACAACTCTCGTGTACAAGGAATTGTCAAAGTAGTATCCATTCTATGTTCAATGTAAGTAATAGGAAGATAAAAGCATTTTATTTAGATTTGAACCAAACATTTTTTGTCCATTAGCCAAACTAAAAAAAAAAAGCACAAATTCACCAAACAATGTTACTGGCGCTACTAGCAATATGATGCTAGGTTCTTTTGTTACACTTTATTTTTATGCTCCCGCCGTGGCGGAGGGGGCATTACGTACGTACGTCCCAAAATTGGTTTACGTTCTCTAACTTTAGTTTGCCTAAACCAAATGTTATGAAACTTATACACAATGCTTATTACCTCAAAACACAGATCAAGTTCGAATTTGAGTAGCGTCACTTTTACCGTTCTAGAGTTATGCCCCTTTACAAATGGAAAAATTGTTAAATTTTTCGTTTCCGTTCTCTAATTTTAGTATGCCTCAACCAAATGTTATGAAACTTATACACAACACTTATTACCACAAAACACAGATCAAGTTTGAATTTTGGTGGCGTCACTTTAACCGTTCTTGAGTTATGCCCCTTTATAAATGGAAAAATTGCTAAATTTTTATTTTCTTCTAAATATCAAGTAATTTTAAAATTGGAGTTATCTTCCTTTGTCCGTGATAAAGTTGAATCAACTACAATCAATGCTTCATACAATGCAATGTTTAATTTTGACTTCCACTGATAAAATACAGATCAAGTTGAATTTGGGTAGGGTCACTTTAACCATAATTGAGTTATGCCCCTTTATAAATCGAAAGATTGCTAAATTTTTAGTTTCCATTCTGTAACTTAAGTTTTCCCCAACCAAACATTATGAAACCTATAAACACTGGACACTTTTAATTTGCAAAACACTCATTTGCAAATCCGCCGCCGCCTCTCCTTACAGCTACAGTGTCGTGTATATAACCAAAATGTGCGGAATTACATGGGATTCAATAAATTCATTGGTTTTCTACTGTTATTATTATATATATTTTGTAATTTGATTTAGAAAAACATGGGATTTTCAATATCCCATGGGATAAGGCAAATCCCATGGGATTGACCATTATCCCATTGGATTTTGGTTAAATCCCATAGGATTTTTTGGGGTCCCATGGGATAATTGTAGTCCCATGGGATATTTGTTTTCCCATGGGACAAAAAAAATCCCATGGGACTATAATTATCCCATGGGATTTTTAATATCCCATGGGACGAAATAAAATCCTATGAGATTCAAATTATAAATATACAGTAATGTGTATGTTACAATGAATTCTGTTTGGTAGTAAATTGTTTTAAGATGAATCTTTTTAGTTGTATATCTTTTTTTCCTTGGAAATGTTAATGCAATTATATTGTTCTATAACTGTTCAAAGCTAAACTTTTAAACAACAACGGAGATAATGTAAGTATCAATATATGTTTATTTATGAATTCTAGAATACTTTTTTGAAACACAATTTTTCCCATTTGAAATCAATGAAAACTCTTTTATTAGGCTTAACATACTAGTAGCTTTTTACATAAATCTATTTTTTTTCAGGATATCCCTCCACCCAAAAAATTAATAGTTTCTTATCATCCAGCATTGTGTGATCGTAATGTATAGTACACTTTTTGGCCATTCAGCACAGAACATTGTCATTATTGTGGTTTTAATATCTTTTGACTTTAGATATTTAATAGAACTTCAATTCATTGACTGAGTGATGAAAATAATAACTGATCTGACTTTTGTCTTTGAATTTATTCTGGTCTTGTTTCTGTGTTTTCTCCTTTTATTCTAATTGATGAATTTCAATCCTTCTGAAAAAGGACCAATAAAATCCGAAGTTATGGATAATAAAAAATTGTACATGTAGCAATAACATATGATTTTCAATAAAAATAGCTATGCTACTGATTGTTGAAGGTTGTCCAGTGTCATCAGTTGCTAACCTCCTACATCCTTCGGTCTCTGATGGAGAGTTGTCAAATTAGCAATATACCACATCTTCCTATTTTAATATTATATAACAATCAATTTATGTATTCTTCTTTATAACATTTGGGTATTTTCCCCAGTTATATATATATATATATAGATCAATGTTAAAACTTTAGGCAATTACAATAACATTCCATTTTTCACAAGATATGCAATATATTATACAAAACGCCAACAAACAAAACATATTTAAGCTTCTGAAGTTCTGAAAGAGTTCCACTTGTGTTTTATTTCAATGAGAAAATACCTTGAATTCTTTGGACATGTTGGAAATTATAACATTGATACAAAAAATTATATTGGTTTTTTTTCTTATTTTTGTGTTGTTCGGTTGCTGTCTCATTTTTATATATGGTTATACATATATCCTAAATCTTCTTTTTTTAATACTTAATTATTAATAGTAAAAATGGGATATTTTTTATTTTGATAATCTCAAAACATTATTATTCTATCAAATAACTTATTTTAAAGTTCACAAAACACCAATGTGTCAGATTTTAATTTTAAAATATGTACATGATGTATAAACATGATCAACAAGCAGTTGACAGGATGTCATGCAAAAATCTCACTAATATTAAACTTTCACAAAAACTCCATACTCAGCGAGTACTATTAAAAGTTCTTAGTACAGGACAAATTCCTAGTACAGGACATAATGCCTGGCAAACACTAGCATGTGTCAATGTCTAGTCAATCATGTAATCAGGCTCAAAATCTTAGTTTGGCACTGAATTTAAAAGTTCACCACATAATGAACATGTGTATGAAATTCAACTTCATGGTAAGCTATGTACATTAACCTAAAACGTTATCCTAAGAATGTACTATAATTTCACATTATGACATTTCGATGTTCAGTGATCCCTAAAATCAGGGTAAAAACAGTAAATGCGGTGTATAATGTATAAACAAGAGTGCACACGCTGAAATGTTGCGCCTTCATTACTAATCATTGATATCATGTTGATAGTCCTAAATATAAAGCTTTACTACAACTATCACATAAACTCAACATGATCCAAGAAAATGAATTCAAGGTCATATAAACCCGACAAGAAATACATGTACACCTTACAACCATTCAATATACTAAATACAGTTGACCTATTGCGTATAGTTTCTAAGAAGCAGACTTAACCAAGAAAACTAAACATTGACCAATGAACCATGGAAATGAGGTGAAGGTCAGAAGAACCATGTCAGGCAGACATGTACAGCTTACAATCCTTCCATACAACACATATAGTTGACCTATTGCTTATAGATTAAGAAAAACAGACCAAAACACAAAAACTTAACACTGAGCAATGAACCGTGAAAATGAGGTCAAGGTCAAATAAAACCTGCAAGACTGACATGTACACCTAACAATCATTCCATACACCAAATATAGTAGACCTGTTCCATACAGTATAAGAAAAACAGACCAAAACACAAAAACTTTACTATAACCACCGAACCATGAAAATGAGGTCATTGTCAGATGACACCTGCCAGTTGGTCATGTACCTCTTACAGTCTTTCCATACACCGAATATAATAGACCTATTGCTTATAGTATCTGAGATATGGACTTGACCACTAAAACTTAACCTTAAATATAAAAAAGAAGATGTGGTATGATTGCCAATGAGACAACTCTCCACAGGAGACCAAATGAAACAGAAATTAACAACTATAGGTCACCGTAAGGCCTTCAACAATGAGCAAAGCCCATACCGCACAGTCAGCTATAAATGGTCCTGAAATGACATGGTAAAACAATTCAAACGAGAAAACTAACGGCCTAATTTATGTACAAATAACTTGCTTCGCTGAGCGCAGCTGGATACGCCCGCAGAGGTCCAACCCTGAACAGTTGGGGCAAATATAGACACAATATTCAAGCTTGATACAGGTCTGAATTTGGAATGTAATTAAATATTTGACATATTATAGGTTTCTGAATATTAAAATGTAGTCAAAGAACTTGAAATTGGTTATATGAAATGAATTTATATTCAATTAAAGATTTCTTGCTATTGTGCAATACACTGTGCTGTTGCGCAATACTTAGTAAATCTGTTGTCAGACTATAAACAAATAAAATCTTATAACTTGGAAACGTAAAATCGTAAATTTATAAAAATCAAAAGGGAGCTTACAAAAATAAATATAAACAATTTACCAAAGTTTCATAAACAAGAGGCTCTTAAGAGCCTGAATCGCTCACCTGTATTTCAGAGAAGATTTTTAAATGTTAGCAAACTTGATGAACAAATTGTGTAAAATTGTCTTTAGAGAAGATTTTTAAATGTTAGCAAACTTGATGAACAAATTGTGTAAAATTGTCTTTAAAGGGCAATAACTCCTTGAGGGGTCAATTGACAATTTTGATCATATTAACTTTTTTGTAGATCTTACTTTGCTGAACATTATTGCTGCTTACAGTTTATATATATCTATAATAATATTCAAAATAATAACAAAAAACTGCAAAATTTTGTTAAAACTACCAATTCGGTGGCAGCAACCCAACAATGGGTTGTTCGATTTGTCTAAAAATTTCAGACCTGATAGATCTTGACCAATTAAACAATTTTACCCCATGTCACATTTGCTCTAAAAGATTTAGTTTTTGAGATATAAGCCAAAAACTGCATTTGACCCTCATGTTCTATTTTTAGCCATGGCAGCCATGTTTGTCGATGGATACAAACTTCGGATACAATTTATAAACAAGATACCCTAAAGAACATTTACTTAAAGTTTACAGGTAATTGACCAAGCAGTTTCAGAGGAGAAGATTTTTAAATGTTAGCAAACTTGATGAACAAATTGTGTAAAATTGTCTTTAAAGGGCAATAACTCCTTAAGGGTCAATTGACAATTATGGTCATATTAACTTTTTTGTAGATCTTACTTTGCTGAACATTATTGCTGCTTACAGTTTATATATATCTATAATAATATTCAAAATAATAACAAAAAACTGCAAAATTTTGTTAAAACTACCAATTCGGTGGCAGCAACCCAACAATGGGTTGTTCGATTTGTCTGATAATTTTAGGGCTGATAGATCTTGACCAATTAAACAATTTTACCCCATGTCACATTTGCTCTAAAAGATTTAGTTTTTGAGATATAAGCCAAAAACTGCATTTGACCCTCATGTTCTATTTTTAGCCATGGCAGCCATGTTTGTCGATGGATACAAACTTCGGATACAATTTATAAACAAGATACCCTAAAGAACATTTACTTAAAGTTTGAAGGTAATTGGCCAAGTAGTTTCAGAGGAGAAGATTTTTAAATGTTAGCAAACTTGATGAACAAATTGTGTAAAATTGTCTTTAAAGGGCAATAACTCCTTAAGGGGTCAATTGACAATTTTGGTCATATTAACTTTTTTGTAGATCTTATTTTGCTGAACATTATTGCTGCTTACAGTTTATATATATCTATAATAATATTCAAAATAATAACAAAAAACTGCAAAATTTTGTTAAAACTACCAATTCGGTGGCAGCAACCCAACAATGGGTTGTTCGATTCGTCTAAAAATTTCAGACCTGATAGATCTTGACCAATTGAACAATTTTTCCCCATGTCAGATTTGCTCTAAAATCTTTAGTTTTTGAGATATAAGCCAAAAACTGCATTTGACCCCTATGTTCTATTTTTAGCCATGGCGGCCATGTTTGTCGATGGATCAAAACTTCGGATACCTTTATAAACTAGATACCCTAAGGAACATTTATTTAAAGTTTGAAGGTATTTGGCCCGGTAGTTTCAGAGGAGAAGATTTTTGAAATAGTTTACGACGACAGACGATGACAACAGACGACGACGACAGACGACGGACGCCAAGTGATGGCATGAGCTGACATGGGGCCAAAGGGCCCCAGTGAGCTAAAAAAGCTGAAAACATTTTTGAGTTATTGTCCGAAAACTGGAAAATCCCCCTTTTTGTAATGAATAAAACCCCATAAATCAGAAAAGTATAGTCTAAAATTTATAAAAATCAAAAGGGAGCTCATGTCAATAGAAAAAAACAATTCACCAAAGTTTCTTGCAAATTGGTGAAATTGTTTTTGAGTTACTGAAAATCCCCCCTTTTTTAATGAATAAAACCCCAAAACTTGGAAACGGAAAACCTGAAATTTATAAGAAACAAAAGGGAGCTCACATCAATAGATATAAACAATTCAAACAAGTTTCATGCAAATTAGTGAAATTGTTTTTGAATTATTGTCCGAAAACTGGAAAATCCCCCCTTTTATAATAAATAAAACCTCAAAACTCGGAAATGGTAAATCCGAAATTTATAAAAAAACGAAAGGGAGCTCACGTCATATATAAACAATTCACCAAAGTTTCATGCATATTGGTTACAGCGTTTTTGAATTAATGTCTGACATGTTGACGACGGACGGACGGACAACGGTATACCATAATACGTCCCGTAAACGGGTGTATAAAAATGAACGAAAAACAAATATGTAACACATAAACAAACGACAACCACTGAATTACAGGCTCCTGACTTGGGATAGGCACATACATACAGAATGTGGCGGGGTTAAACATGTTAGCGGGATCCCAACCCTCCCCCTAACCTGGGACAGTGGTGTAACAGTACAACATAAGAACGAACTATAAAAATCAGTTGAAAGAGGCTTAACTCATCAGATGGATAAAAATACAAATACTACAAATACAAGTGGTACTTGTACATCCAAACAACAAAAAGACACTAAGTACAGATCTGAGAGTACTCGCAGTTACTGACAGCTAGTTCAAAGCCACTAACAACTAATAAAAAAAATCATGCATCTAAGACTAAATTCTTGTTCACTGATCCATGTAATGAGGTCTAGGTCAAGTGAAAACTCTCTGACGAGCATGAGGACCTTGCAAGGTACGCACACACCAAATATAGTTATCCTATTACTCATAGTAAGAGAGAAATTAACATTACAAAAAATCTGAACTTATGTTTTCAAGTAGCCACTGAACCATGAAAATGAGGTCAGGGATAATGGACATGTGACAGACAGAATAGGTATCATTAGGCATCTATATACAAAGTATGAAGCATCCAGGTCTTCCACCTTCTATAATATAAAGCTTTTAGGAAGTTAGCTAACGCCACCACTGTAGCTGCCACCGGATCACTATCCCTATGTCGAGCTTTCTGCGACAAAAGTCGCAGGCTCGACAAAAATACATGAACATTTTAAAGTACTAAATTTTGAGTATATACATGTAAAACCACAAGTTCCTAACTGAAGTTCATGGTGAACTGTAACCAAAAACTTTAAGTGAATATAATTTAGAGAAAGACAGATGGATGCACAAACAGTATCAAAACAGAGCATAAAACTTACCGAACAAGATGTTTTACATTTATCCTTCAGAAGAAGGAAAATTGAGGTGTTTCTTTTCTTTCTCTGCCCTCCATGATATAAACTTCAAATTCATTCATGCAAAATATGAAAATCTGCAAAAGTAGGACCTTGTACATCAGCTTATCCACATTTTAACTTTTGAACTGCATTGTTCTTTTCATCTTGCTGGCAACCTAAACATAAAAAAAAATGATAAACACATAATTCTGAAATAACTTTGTGTATTTATTTTTGTTGGTACAAACAATTTTTCCAAATTTAAACGAAAACATCATCACAAAAAAGGACGTCATAGTCATACTAACCTCCAAAATATTTAAACAAACCAAAATTAATACTTGATTAAGATCTTGTCATAAATGTATAGCATGGATACCTCTTATTTTTGAAGACCATATGTCTATTGCATACTTATATTCCTTTGTACAAGAGTATGCATATTAATATTAAAGATTGATTCTGAGGAATTTAAAATCAGAGGTAGTGCCATTATCCCCTGAATTCATTACACTATACAATGCCATAAGGCTACTCCAAGTTGTATACCAATCTTTAGCATGTCAAATTAGCATGATTAATTTAAGTTTCATAACTCCATGTGTACACTTTGAGAATCTTACAATACTGTTCATTCTGATTTTCAGAACTTATTGTGAGGTTTTTATTATTTAATGCGACTGAGAGCTGTATTGAATTCTTATATCTGATACATATTTATGAGCTGAAGACCACCTCCGGGTGCGGGATTTTCTTGTCGTGTTGAAGACCCATTGGTGGCCTTCGGCTGTTGTCTTCTCTTTGACATATATTCCCCATTTCCATTTTCAATTTTATGTACCCCGGTATGCAGGTTTTTCTTAAATCACAATAATCAATCTCACATGTTTGTCCATTTTTCAAAATTAGCAACAATAAATGCACACAAAAATTAACATTGTTAAAGCTTTTTTTTAAATTCAAAACAGTTGCCCAAAACCATTAAATTCCTTGTTTGATTTATTTTATATTTATTATTATTATTCAAAGCCTTTTATAGCTAGCTAGATGGTATGGCTTTTGCTCATTGTTGCATTCATATCGTTACCTATACCTAACTTGTGCATCGTTTGGTCTCTGGTGGGGATAGGCCTGCTGAAGAAGTTTCAACTTGGAATTTGCCGGATAATTGAGTATTTATCCAAAAATGTAGAAGAAAGATATTTATAACCTAAATTATGTTGAAATTAAAGATGTAAATTGTCTGTAACATGTTGTTTCATTTTGATTAGTGAGGTACTGGTGACCTGATGAAATTTATAAACATGAACTTTTGACCTATAGGAGTTACCCTACTGGAGTTTGGATCCAGGTCCGTTCGCCCTGATTCACATTCAACCTTAATTACTTTTTAGCCTGAATAAGTTAATATCTGTTTGCCCTGGGTCCATTCGCCCTGATTTTAAATTTTATTTTGTTATCTTGATGTATAATGTTTATTTTTGAATAATATTTATATTGTATTGCTACTACCAGATAATTTACATTATTTTCCTTTGATTTGCACTATAGAATACAGGTATACAGTTTTTAATATAATACAACTGAAGACGATTTTACAGTGGTGGATCCAGAAATTTTCATAAGTGACTGCCTAAAGCTAAGAGGGGCCTGCTCCTGTCATGCTTCAGTGATTCCCTATATAATCAACCATTTTTTTTCATTCAAGAAAAGGGGGCCCCGAACCCCCACCACTAAATCTGCCTCTGCTTTAAAAAACAACTGAAAACCATTATTAACTGCATGTATTTATCTTAATTGAAAACAATTTCTTGAGTTTTTCTCATTTGTATCACCCTGTTATATATAAATTTTATTTTTGTCACTTTTTAAAAATAGGAATGGTTTAAATTCCTCAATAATTCTAGTCAATTAAAAATGTATGAATAAATTATTAAACTTTATACTATTAATATCAATATATTTCATTTTTTTAATAAAAATAGGGCAAACAGATTCTATCAGTCAGGGAACTTACTTAAATGAGTGATTAAGAAATCACTGATTTAAGTAACATTTTTTCAGAAATGTTGGAAGTAAGAGTTGTCTTTCTTTAATAATCACCTATTTAAGTAGTACAAATAAATCACTAGACTAAGTGATTTAATTCTATTGTAGCTTTAAACATACACTTCTAATGATCCAGGAACTAATTATGTTGCTAAAATTATCAGAACCAATCTGTGTTTTTAGGATGACCTGTCATGTCAGGTGATGACCTTGTACTGAATCTGGGATAATGACATGAAAATCACTTGTTTTAGTATCATACCTCTAGTTTCTTCAAAACAATCACTTCTTAAAGTATTATTATTTTAATTACCCTCACTAATTTCAACACCCCTGAACAGTGAAATTTTGGTCGCGAACAGTAATATTTTATTACATAATCTGTAAGATGAAACCTTGAATTATACAGGAAAAATACTCCCACTGCTGGGAAAAAATCTGTTACGAAAGCATTAGATTATTATGTAAAGCTTCATTATAGCATATTTTTCAACAAATATAGGATTTATAGATCAATGATTGCATCAAAGGCATACATACACCTTGCTACTTAAAAGAAGCAAAAGTTTCATTTTTTTCAATTTTACTAATAATTAGATATAATTTAAACCTGTACATGTATATTTAAAATTTTGGTAAAACTCTACAAAATCACAGAATTTCTAATTTGCTACTTAAATGAGTGATTAATAAATCACTGATTTCAGTTATTCCCCTGACTGTCTATGGGCGAGCAGACATTATACCCTTGAGGTGGTTTTAAAAAAAGCTTACAACTTAGATGTACCATAAGCATGGAAAAACAATTCAGCAGTTTCACAAAAAAACTTACAAATAATATTGATAGTCATTAAGTAATGTACAATACAGTATACTTACGATTACTTGTAAGTTTTTTTTTTGTAAAACCGACTCAAGTATACTTATAATCAATCTTAGTCGTAAGTATTTTTGTGAAATTGACTCCTGGAGTCCTTAAAGACTACTTATTCATCTTTTGGATAATTTGTTAGGTTTTTTTATGAATATACAGTGGCGGATCCAGAACTTTTCATAAGGGAGGGCCAGCTCCAGTCATGCTTCAGTGATTCCCTATATAATCAACCATTTTTTTCCCAAGAAAGGAGGGGGCCGGGCCCCCAAGCCTCCCCTCCCTTGGATCAGCCTATGGTATATGTTTATATATCTCTCTGATATGCCATTTCAAATCAAATGTGTATTTAATAAAACTTTACAGTAGAAAAGTAATGGATAGTTATTCATTTGGGAATTTTTCAAATTCACAGCATGCCGGTGCCTATGTTCAAAGTGGTGGGTTTTCAGATTCTTTTCATCATCCTCGTTGTATTGCGGAATAACGATTTAGGCCAATTGAGAAAAACATCATGTCTGTGGTTGGTAATAGTGTGTGTGCATTAATTTTCTATACCTTCTTATTTAATATTTTTCCAATTTTGAGTACTGACGGCAAGACTTGTAACGTATAGTGTACCAATGTCTTGAGGCCAATGTGCTATTTACAAGTGCGATCGATGAATGCAGGGGAAAGAAACTTATCAATTATGTTTATTCTTAAGACAAAAATTAGCCGCCGTAAAATGAACCGAGTCGAGGAGGTTACTGACACGTAATAGGGCAGAGACATATATACACATATGTGTGTATATATGTCTCTGTAATAGGGTCATCCCTCGAGAACATTAACTAGTACATTGATAAAATACTATGCAGTCAGTATCCCGAAAAAAAAACAACGTATGGATGCAAAACTCTTAGTGGTTTCGGCTGACTTCTAATACGTGCACTTTGTCTCAAAATATCCCGGACAGTTGTTTCATTACCAATCATACCACATCTCCTTATTTTTATATATACGAAAGCTTTATTCATATTTGTTGGTGTATTGATGAATGTGTAAAGATACATTTTAAAATACAGCACAAGAGATGCAGATTATATAAAACTTATAAGTCGAAGACATACTGACAACGCCATGGCAAAAACTTAAAAACGACCAAATGACGTACAACAGTCTATAAAACTTAACTATAGCATACAAAACGCAAACATTTAAAACACATAAGAAGCACCGTGACAGTCAAATAGAAATTAAAAGAATAAATAATTTGTAAACTAGGCCTACAGCTATATTTTCTTATCATCTAACAGTAAACATAGGTTCTGGTATTATGTGATAAGTCATTTTTTCATGCAGACCCAGTTTCATTGATACTTTGAACTTAAAGTGGTTTTATGCATATCAGCCTGGATTATCATATGTGTGTAATTTTATTAAACAATTCAACAATACACATTCTAAACAGGTTGAATTCAATTTACAAATTCAGATCTACTGGCATTCAACACCCAATTACTTACTTGCTGTATATTGCTATCTTTGATTGTATATTGTCAATCCCTCAACATCGTGAATACGCCATGCGAGGTGTTGGCTATGTTTGATACAGGGTATCGGCTTCGAAGCGTAGAACAAAATCCAGGTAAATGAAAGTATAAAATTTTGTTGTTGAAAATTTTAAGTACTAAATTCCTAAATTTGTACTTAACTCCGTTCTTAGGGTAACATGGTTGTTTGATATGAAAATAGGATAAAAGCTTCCGAAAATTATCACATTATAAGTATTCGTAAATGGATATGAAAAAACCTAACAAGGAATAAGTATTGGTAAACGGACAGAAAGTCGCAGTACAAAAGTTTAAATTAATTATTTTACAATTGTTTAAATCTGAGACTACTTATAGTAGTCTCAGTTTAAATATATGAGAGAAAGTTCTTGACGAATTAAATTTATTTATAGATAGTTGAGGAAATGATTAATTCGCCTTCAAATAGTTTTTTTTTCAAAAACTTATAAAAAGGAGACATTTTTGACAGCATGAAGCCAGTTAATTACCAAACCACTTTAGCAGATTGTTTTCTTAACAATCATTGTTCAATATTGATATTCAAAAATAAATTTTG